CATACGAATTTAGTAAGCCTGTTACAGCTGCCAGCCAGCCAAACTTCCAGCTACTTTCTGTCTGCAATCTAATATCACCCATCTGTAGTGATGGCAACCATTTGCTGAACTTCATTTACTATTTCTCATGGTTGAGTTTTTCCAACGCATAGTTTCTTTGCAATTGTTTTGGAATGAATTTTCCCTGCTTCAAGGAGATACTTGGAAATCAGCAGTGCATTATTTGTTTTTGTACCTATTGTGCTAGTCCTAATGGGAAAAGAAAACCACTAAGGCGATGGTATTTCAACAGTGCTAGGGATAGATTTCTTCAAACCACCTGGAGGATTTTTTTTTGCTGAGCCCTTTGCTATTTGGGCTGTTTTTTTTTCCTGCTAATTTAATTGCTCATGTATAGGATAGGCTTGATGACCTGACAAATGAAAAGCTTGCCAGAATGAATCACAAGAATTACAGGCCATCATCAGCTATTAACTAGGTTGAATCAAATAGTAATCAAGTTGCAATTTGCAGTATTACTATACTGCTGCTCACAGATAACATGGGGCTTCTGTTTTCATAAATCTGAGCAATCTGCTAATAGAAATAATTTTGCTGTGTGTGTCAACTGTACCTGTGCCTATCTTAGACCAACATGAATAGAAATGTCTCATGTTTGCCAGTGCCCCACTTGTGTTATTTTATATATTTATGCGTTTATCTACATACTTAGTTTCAGTGCTTGGATAGCAGTGCATACACAGCAGGAGCCAGCTTGTTCTGTGTAATCTGTTCTTACCTTCCTGGTAATTACAAGGGCACTGTGATGTCTGGGAACCGTAAGTTTTACAGCAGTGTGATCTACTCTTTGTAAAATATGGCACTGTATTTAATCTCTGTAATCCAATTTATTTGGATTTCTTTGTATTTTGTTAATAATTTAAAGTTTATTCATAGCTACTTCATGCTTTTCCTCCAAAGCTATTTCTGGCTCTTAACTGTATCCTATTTTCACAATGAAGAACAATTATTTTTGGTCATTTTCTGGTGCATGGGTTGTTTTTTGCCCAGTCATAAAAGGCATTTTAAGGAGAACTGAAAATCTGCTCATTGAGATAGATCACAAATAGAAGATTTTATAGTCTCTGTTGTCTGGGCTACTGTACTGTACAAGCATCATATTCTAACTAAAATGTCAAAATGAACACAGAAATGAAATGCCCTCTGAGCTGAATAAAATGTGTTTTATTCACAAGACAAATTTATGCAGGGCAGAATAGAAAATACGATGAGATGCATTGATTTATTCCTTTTGTGAAAACTGATATCAAACCATTATGCTATCAGAGAAGTAATTCTCAGCTCGCAGGTCAAGATCCCTTTCTGAGTCATCATGAATTTCTTCTGAGTATTGGAAGCAAGCTGGCATGATTTAAATGTTGAAATATAGGGGAAAAAAAAAAAAACAAAACATTCAAGAATGAGTGAGAAAAAAAAAAAAATCACACTGGCCATAATTTCCCCAGAAAAAGAGTTTGGCCAGTCAGCCTAGTCCTAAAAGTGTGTCTGTGGTAAGTGATGAGAGAATTGAGGTTGCAGGGCAAGAAGTGATGAAATGAAAAGAGCTACTAATCCAGCCTCCTTGGGCTGATGGAGTGAAGCTCTCCGTGCTCCTTTCCTCTCACCTTCACTCCATGCATTGCTGATGGACTCCTGAGTGGTGCTGGGTGCCTTCCAGTGTTTGTTTAGCCAGTAAGGGGAAGGTGAGGCCCGAACTGTAAAGCCTGGATTGTGCTGCACTGAAAAGCTTAACGTGACATCCTCTAAATGATATTTCAGATGGAAATTTACAACCTATGTATTTCTGATAAACATTTGAAAGTTCCCGTTGCAAACCAGACAGTGTTTTGTTTCCAGCCTGCTCATTGGTAGGGTGCCCATTACCATAGATGAGCAAACTCAAAGACTGCAAGCTTCTGGAAGCACATGGTATGTGTCAAGCTGACCCACTTCTTGAAAGCCAGCCTGGGCCTTTGTGAAATGTCCTGTAGTTGTTAGAAGGGATGTCAGGATGTCAAGAATGTTTAAGTCTCCAGTGACAGTATAATTATCGTTGTGTTGTTTGTAGAGGTGGGAGGGCCTGAGGGGAAAGGAGGCCAAAAAGGAGAATCAGGAAGTGAGATGAGTAAGGCTTTAGGAATTGTGCCCAGATGGAGTTTCATCACGCTTTTTTCTTCAGCTCATTTGGCTCCTTAGTAAATTAGATGTTTACATATGAGAAACTATTATTTTTTTTCCCTCTCTGCATCTCCTACACTTACAAACTCAAACGTTCCACATGCTAATCTTAGAGGCAGCTTTTAAATGGACATCAGGAACATGAAACTGCCAGGTGAAAATGCTGAGTTTAAATAATATTTGCTTGTAGCTCTTGCCAGTCCTACTGCTAATCCATAGTTTGTCTCTTTCAAATCTAATGTAAGGGAAGCAGGCTGAGATCTGAGATCCTGAAGATCAGCTGCCCTTGTTAGATAGTAGTATCTTACTGTACACGAGTGCTCTTTATGTTACAATTTAGTGAATTGATTCAGTCTTCCAGAAGCTTCTAGGATGTACAAGCTGTTGCCTCTTTTTATTTTAGAAGTACTAAACCACACATCTACAAAATACATATTCTGACTAGATGTAACATTTTTTTGGCTTTGTTCAGTCACAGAAACCTTCAGGTATACTTGCCTGACAGAACAATTAAAATGTTTCAGTCAAGGTCATGATTTTGCAGGCGATTGTTTTTCAGATTAACTTGCCATTATATATGCTGTCATGATTCCAATGTATATGCTCAGAAGACTGGAGGAAGAATAGCTTCCTGTTCTAGCATATATTATTATTGCAATCTGCAGTTATTGGTGTTTGCCAAGCCACACCTATGCTAACCTCTGTTATCAACAATGTTATTTAACCTACTTGGTACCTTCTTTCAATTTAATTTTTTAATTTACCTGTATGAGAATTCCACACAGTATGATATGAAAACCTTTAAAATATAGAAATGCTGTTGCAGTTGCATGGTACTTCTCCTCCTGGCAATAAATCATTTTTTCTTTATAAGAACCAAAATGCTGGCACAGACAGAGAGGTTGTTCTATCTCCTCTCCCCTCTGCACCCAGACCAGCTATTCCCTGAGCACTGCTTAAAGTGTTCTTAAACACTCCTGTGACTGATAAGCTAACAGATTTCACTTGGGTTTTGACTAGTAACAATGAAAGTGAATGCTTGAGTGGTTGAAAGCACATATTTAATTTGGATATTCTGAAAATGAAATGGAACGTAAGCATCTCTTTTGCTTAAAAATTCAACAGTACTTTCCGAAACATAACATTTTAAGTTTGGTTCTGGATTTTCATTGCCACAGTGAGTGTTTGAAATTCATGAGTCAATGCCACCCACAACAGAAATTGGCTTAAAAGCCCATATTCTTAAAAATAAGACTTTTTAAGAGGATGGGTAGGTGGTTGGTTATTTGCCATCTGTTTTCTTTGCTTTTAGATCTTTTTTTTCATATTTCCAAGCTTGTGTCATACAGGAGAATTAAAAACTGGTTTAAAACAATGTAAAAGCTGAGATTCTTACTTCAGCCTCTTGACCTTGGTAGCTGAAAAAAGATGTCAATGCGTTTGTAGTAAAAGTATTAGAAACAGCAACATCCAATTCAACCTCACAGCATTTTAGCATCTTCTCAGAGTTACAGCTTTGTAGAGGAATGAACAATAATCTGTATGTAGGGATCCCCTCATATTTAATATTCTTGGTTTGTGGGTGGGTTTTTCTTTGAGGACAGTGTGGAGTGCAATTCTTTGCCATCTCAAAATGCTCTGCTAGCATTCCATTGCATTTTGCTAATTTTGGCTAACTTTTCTGTTTTTTAAGGGGACTGACATATAATAAAGTTTGCTAATAGGCAAACATTTTCTGGACTCACGGGCACTAGTAAGTAAAGTCTCATGGTAGAGATTAATTTATTTTTGTACTTAAAGATTGCAGGAAGGTAACAATTCTGTGTTGTCATGGATTTGTTACACTCAGCTAGGTTTTGCTGATTAGAGGAAGGTTTTGATAAACAAGTATTTTGCTTTATTTCAGCGTTCCATGGAGTTCTGGGATAAATTTTCGTATTGGAGACTCCTTATTTGTTCCAATGTTTTATGTCAATGTCATACCAAACAACTTTGAATTCTGTGAATGCAAACACCTCCTCCATATACCACTCCTTCCACTTTGTTACCTGAATTGCTGAGCTCTAGCAACTCTCATGTTTCCTGAAGTGCCCGATTTAAGTGATATGTTGGGCAGCATTGGTCCTCAACTCAGAACTAACCCCTGAGAGGAGGCTGGGATCAAACATATTCTGCAGAGAAGGCCATTACTTATCTCTAGAAGTAACCATAGTATGAAGTTGTATTGCAGAACCAGTTAATGAGAGCAATACAAAGCCAGCAATGTGCCCTCACAGCTCAGGAAGCCAACTGTAGCCTGGGCTGCATCCAAAGATGCGTGAGCAGCAGGTCGAGGGAGGTGATCCTGCCCCTCTGCTGTGCGCTGCTGAGGCCTCACCTGGACTGCATCCATGTGTGGAGTCCTCAGCACCGGAGGGACACGGACCTGTTGGAGCGTGTGCAGAGTAGGGCCACAAAGGTGATCCACGGGATGGAACACCTCTCCTATGAGGAGGACAGGCTGAGAGCTGGGGCTCTTCAGCCGGGAGAAGAGAAGGCTGTGAGGTGACCTGATAGCAGCCTTACAGTATCTAAACAGGAGCTCCAAGGAAGAAGGGGACAGACTATTGAGCAGGGTCTGTGGTGATAGGGCAAGAAGAAATGGTTTCAAACTTAAAGAGGGAGGATTTAGGTTGAATATAAGGAAAAAGTCTTTTACACTGACGGCGTTGAGGCACTGCAGCAGGTTGTCCAGAGATGTGGTGATGCCCCATCCCTGGAGACATTCAACAAGGCCAGGCTGGAGCAGGCTCTGAGCAACTTGATGGAGCTGTGGATGTCCTTCTTCACTGCAGGAGAGTTGAATTAGATCACCTTTAAAGATATCTTCCAACTCTAAGGATTCTATGAGTGTATGATTCTGTGAAATCACAAATGAAAATCCTACCTTTAGGTTAAGTCAAATTTTTCTCATTTGCTGCACTGACTAACCTGGATTTTTAAATGAGAGTCCATGCAGAAGAAAAGGTTTGTTTGAGACTCTGAAGAACCTGACAGTGCATCTCTAAAAGGTGTTGCCAGATTGCAGGAAGGGTACAAAGTGACACATAAATGGGTATGTTGCAGCTCCCCTTGGTGTAAGGCTACTGGGCCCCACAGGCCTCCTGCCCATTGGCTGACACACTGCAGGAGCATACCACAAGAGTTCTGCCCAGATGCACATACACCCAGAAGGAAGGAAATAAAGCTGCAAGGCTTAATCCAAATTAACGTGCTTCTTATTATTAAGTGTGCTTGTCTTTGCAACCTTATTAATGTTCTTATGATGTTTTTACAGGTATGTGATATTTACTTTAACTTAATTTACTTTATAGGAAATTTGAATCCAGACTGTTTTAGATATTTAATTTGTGGTTTGTTTTCTTGTTTTTAATAATCTCCTGCTTTAGTGTGTATCTGACTTGTAGAGAGCATACTGCTCAAAGCATGCTTTTGCTCTCCAAAGCCTCTGCCTGCAGCATCATTCCCTTCATCCAGAGCAATTCTGAACAAAGGTCTTCACTTCTGTCCTGCACAGGTCCCCTGCAAGCTGTTGGGGACCACTGGGCAGCTGCCTAAGGTGTGGAAATGCTGGAAGATGTGGAAGAGGAGGGACTGAGAGCTGCTGAAGATCTGGGGAAGCTGAAGCAAAATGTGACTCAACGGCGTATCATCCCTGTCTCATAGGAAGAGGTGAGACACAGCTTAGGCAAGAGGAAACGCACTTGCAAAATTAAACACTTCATAGGACAAATAGCCTCTGCACCTCAGTTACTAACATCTCAATTTTCATCCCTAATCCAGAAACTGCAGTAGGTAGTATGAGGCATTAATGGTGTTTCCTAATTCTGCTGATGGTCTCCACCTCTAGGATAACATCTGGCCTCTTGCAGACTTGCTGCTGCTTTGCAGCACTCTCAACCCTCCAAACTTCTGTTTTCTGCATTGAACTTTCCTGCTCACATCCTTTCATATCTTTCTGTACAGAGGTTTCTTGTGGGCAGAGATGCTTATTTGTCTGTTATAATTTACCCACTGAATGGGTATCGTGTATTTATATAAAGCAGAAAAGACAGCAACTTCTTCCAACTTTTACTACAAACCTTTGTCAATTTAAATACAAGCTCAATCTATAATTAAAATGGCATGTTCTAATGTACAGAATTTATATTGACTCACGATGAAAAATGCAGGAAAAGGAAGTATTATAATAACTCACAGAGATTACAGACCTAGATGTACAAGTCTTTTGTCCTTTCTTTGGTTGAGTGTGTGCTTACAGCTTGGTATTAGCTTAACTGGGTGGCAAAACCAGATTACCAGGGCAACAATGCAGGAAAAGTGTAGGACCCTCTGCTGTAACAAGGGATATATCATTCCTTGTTAATCAATGGCTGGTAACAAATCCACATGAAAGCAGGCACGACACATTTTTAAATAGTTCAAAATTGGTTGGGAAGTGCCAAGTGGTGGTTATCTGAGCTTATGTTTTGTGCTTTGCAGCCAAGGCTTCCCCAGGTTTGTGGCAAAAGGGTAGCTAACAATGCAACACCCAGCAACATCTTCACAAGAAGTACTGAAGAGGGACATCAACATCATCTAGAAAGCAAAACTTCTTCTATTTGATGTGGGTACTAAAAGTAGGGAATGGTAAGAAGGGGAGGAAGAAGGGGTGCATGCAACTAGAATTAGCTCCACGTTTTATCAAAACCCATGCAGTTTCTGAGCATCTTCAATAAAGAACTGTTAATTTTTATCTGAGAAGGACATACTGTACAGGGATAAAATCTAGCCCCAGTGCATGCTGTAGAGCTGCCAAAGTGTGGTAGGAAAGGGCCAGATATCTTCTACTCTGTTGAATTTAAAAACTTTGCCAAATTGACAAAGCCTGAATTGTCATTCTACTTGTTTACTTGTCCTTAAGTGTTATAATATTCTCATCCACATTCAGAAGGTCATTACCACAATATATGTATTTTGGATTCTCAGAGGTGTCGAACATTCAGTACTGTGCCTTTTACAAACACACTTGCAAAAAATTGCTGCTTCATGCTCCATCAGCACTGCTGAGAACACAGCAACATGTAATCAAGCTGCATATGGTTTGGCTGTAGTAAAATGGCTGCACCCTACCTGTACTACAGATGTAACTGTACTGGAAGAGACAGCCTCACTAGGCTTTAAGGGTTGGATAAAATCCCCCTTGGAGAACCTGAGTGCTTGGTAGAAGAGCTTTCCTCCGATGGCTCCCACTGGATCCTCTAACTTATATCCTTTGTCTTTAATGATGGTTACATTCCCTGTAGTGGTGTGCAATTCTGAGTCACTTGCCTGTGTTCTTTCTGCAATTTCAAAGCAGTAAGAAAAGCAAATTGATGAACAGTGCTTCAGTTACAAATCAAAGGATGCATGAGAAAAATTCTTCAGTTTGGCATTGCAAGATGGTAACCTTAGACATACAAATTTTAGGCACTGCACAATTTTGCCTTAGTTTATTGGCATTTGGAGGAGGGACAAAGCATTGACTCTCATGCGACAGAAATCTCTAACAGCTCAAAAAGCCCTGTTTCTCCAGTCTAGTTTGTATTAATAGGATCTTGAACTCCCTTGGAAACTTGCTGACAAGACAAATTTACACCGGGCACAGTGTACCAGTACAGAGGAACAGGAGAGGAGATGCTCACATGTTAGGTATGCAATGTTTGAATTATGGAGTGTGCAACTGAGAAAACAAATACGAGGTAATAAAGAAAGGACAAGCCTGCAGCAATTTGAATAATCCTCCCATTGGGGGATTTTTTTTAATATGTATGTGAACTCCAAATGTGACCTTCAGAGATAAGATGCCATAGTGCTCTTGTACAGCAATTGGTGTTTCATGGTTATAAATGTCACAGACTTAAAAGAACATTTCCTGTAATTGACACTATTTAAGAAAATGCATTTAATACTGATTTGAATTATGCTTTTTTAAAAGGAGATCATGCAAAAGGGTGAAACAGGAAACGTCTTTTAAAACACTTCCATGCATCTCTAGCACATTATCGTGGCCGTTTTTCTCGCATCTCTTTCAAACCTCCTCTCTCTGATGACATGAAAGTCACTGCAAGGGAGGTTTAATCTGGCTGCTGGGTATTTTCTGCTGAGGCAGAGATTATAGGAAACTTTCCAGGTTTGACAGAATCTCTGTGCAGAGTTCAGCGCACTCAGGCAGGACCAAAAAAAAAAGTCATCAGAGCACAAGAGGCTTGCTGTCCCTGTTTTCCTTGCAAATGCAGGCAGCTCCTTCCTACCATGTCCCTTTTGCAGCTCCTACCCAGAGCACTGGGCCAAGGGTGCAGGCACAGTAAGTGTAAGAACTGGTGAATTTGCTCCCTCCAAGGCCACCTTGAGAGAACTAAAATCAAGGCTATGTCTGCACTGATTGTAAGTGTTCCAAGTAGGCTGCAAGCGTTCTGTTTAAAAGCTTCTCTCTCTCGCTGTTGTGCCTTTATCTATTTCAAACAGGCTGAAGAGATGCATTCAGTGACTGTTTCCACTAGTTTTCTTACGCTTAGTGGCCACTTCGACAAGTACTTAAGGTTTTAATCTGTAAAAAAAGGAAAGCTTGCTAAGTGTGTCTAGTATATCAGTGAATGTGTAGCTGTAAACAGGGAATTCCCACACTCCTTAACTATTATATAACACTCCATCTGCAAAAATCCAGGTGCTTTCAGACAGGAGGGATTTTTATCCCACTCCTACTGAAAAAACAGAGTTGAAGAGGAGCAGCAGCTCAGCCAGGACTCACCCAGCTGGCCAGCGTCAAAGCTGTGGATAAATCCCAGGACTAATTCTTTATCCCAGAAGCTGCTTCAAAATAAATAACACAGAGAATTGTGCAATGTAGTTGGAAACAGTGGCAGCACATGAGATGAAAACAGATATAACAAACTGTAATACCGGGAAGTAATTAGATTCAAGACAAGAAAACACCATGAAAGTATGTGTGAGATTAAACAGCACCATGTAGTGAATAAACTTTACTTTAGCTAGGCTGTATTTTTATTATTAAAACTTACTAGCTACATTTTCTAGATTATGTCTCTCTGTTGTGTGTGTTTTTTTTTTAAATCTTTTAATCATATAGGGTGGCAACAATGGCTACAGCCTTGAAAGATGATAATTTCCTGAAACACAGCTTTTAGATGTATAATAAACGTACCTTCACTTTGACTTTGAATGAAACTGGTTGGTTTTGACTTCTGTGCACTAACTAATGAGTTATGAGTGTTATTTTTTCAAATTATTTCATGCTGTCATCAATAGAGTGTTCAGGCAAAGGCTGTACATTGCAGCAGGTGTTGCAGTGTATAGCCCTTTTGATTTGCAGATCAACATCTTGGGCTATCTGCAATCCAACTGGACATCCCTGGGTCCTTGTGTTTGGGTGCTGCTATGTGCTTGTCCTCCTCAGCATCTCCCACCTGCCTGGCAGGGTGGCTAACACACAGCTGACATAGATGCCAGGACTAAGGGCTGTTACACACACCTCCTGCAAGTGTATTTGGCACCTCTGGTGCTTTGAATACCCCAGACCTCACTCCACACTTTGGAAAATTGAGGGAAGCAGCCATTTCATAAGGAGTCAGCATGCATGGATGGAGATCACATAATTAACATCTACTTTCATTTTTCTAGGTCATTTTTTCCTCACTACTTTTCACCGTTCTTTTCTGTTAGTTTTCCTTGCAAGCTCCTCAGTGTTCAGGCTCCTGCATACATTTGCAAATCATACTCAGACTATTTAACTTTTCTTTCAAACACCCCAGTAGATCCTATACTCATCTCTTCAGGCCAGCCATACCTTTAAAATAACCTCGCTGGATGACCAAAATCCCTCAGCATGAAATGCGTTGCTTAGCTACCTCCAAACTGAAGGTCAGGCTTAAAAACTGCTTTGCCCTGGGTTGCAGCTGCCTACCTTCTGGGTTCTGTGCAAGGACATCATTAGGCCAGTTCTTGGAAATTCAGCCAGGGCTGTGCTGACACTGCACAGAGGGAAGATCCTTGGTAACCCTGCTGGGGTGCAGAGAACTAGGTGCTACCTGCCCGGTGGCTGGGCAGCAGAGCAGTCCCCTGAAGAGTGCCCAGCATCCCACTCAGCCTGCATATTCCCCAGAATGCCAAATGAATTATGGATGAGTCAGCCAGGATATTTCCATGAGCTTCCTTTGCTGCACTGCCTCCCTCGCCAGCTGAGCTGTGGTTGTAAACCACCACCTGGGCCTAACTCTTCTGACATTTAAAATAAGAAGAAAAAAAAAAAAGATGATTCCCCTTGGTTTCCTGGCAGGATGTGGGGAATCCCTGACGTTTGTGCAGTGCCAGACCCCCACGTCCTCAACATTTTGCTGCACAGCCCAGCATATGCCAGAAATCATCTGGTCCTTTCTGCCTGCTTTGCTCCTCCGTCCCTCCCACTAGCCGGCTGTGCCGACGGAGTCAATTAGAGGAGATGGCAGTGATGCTGAAACTGATTTGAATTTCAACCAGGATCTGCTAACAACTAGAGCTGTGCACAGCCAGATGAGGAAAGGCAGTTACCCAAGGACACAGTGACTGCATATGCTGGAAGTCTTACTTCTTATTTTTAGTCCTTAACTAGACTCAGATTAATTTATTCAGCAAACATCGATTTCTTTTATTCATCTCTGAGCACATTAAATATGTGTGGTCTTAATTTGCAATGGTGGCATTGTGGAGAAGCAGCAGCCCAGTTCTGGAAATGTTTGCTGCGAGACAAAGCACAAAATGCTTCTGCAACAGCATTTGATGAGTCCTCTCAGACTGACTAGCTTTGTGATCACTTGCAATGATGAAGCAATGCTGATGTCAAACCATACAGCATGGGAGATGAAGCATTAATTCAAGTCTTCTAACAAGTTTCTATTATCTGCATTTGAGTTGCAGACAGAACAGAATCAAGACAGGCTTCAGCTGCGCTAAACACTACCTTCATAAAAATGACAGTTTGCACAATAAAGCACTTAAGATCTAAACAGGCGACACAAAATAAACTGTAGTGAGATCAAACAAAAGGAAAAGTGATCCCTATTGGCTCTTTACCACCAGCAGGTTACTTGGCTGCGTTTGCAGAAGACTGAACTCCGTATTTATCTTCAGGCAGTCTGAAATCCCATTACTTCAGTGGGAGAGAAGAACAGGAATCAATTTTTTCCTGAATTATGTAGTTTAGTCCTGAATCCAGCACTGAGCAGAAACTTGAAGATGAGTGATGCATTGTTTTACTGGCTGAGGTGGAACAGGTAGCACAGGAAGGAATACGGATCAGTTATACTTCTGGGGAGGCCATATCCAGCACCTCCTGGAGTTACCTGTAACAGCCAGAGACCCCTAAGGTGCTCAGTCATCCCCAAGGGCTCACATGCAGATGTTCCTGTCAGCCCTTGCCAGTTCTCCAGGCTGGCCTACGTGGATTTGGCCCTATCCATATAGTATATCATCTCAATTATTCATGCACGTGTTTCATGACACCCTTGCCATAGTAATTAAGGGGGCTTCTGTGGCTGTTAAGCCAAAATATGATTCCAGTATAATACCACGATGAAGTTAATTGAGCTTTACCCTGACTGGCATCACCTGCTTTATTTCAGGCTTTCATTTCCTGGCTGTGTCTTTGCATGCTGACAGAGCCCCTTACAGTGCAGAGCCTGCATAACCTACTGTCTGTCATGGGGTTCCCCCTTAGCCCTCTCAATAACCTAAAGAGATGGAACATCATCAGCACTGTGTGGATATGCTGCAACTCTCATTGCTCCTGAATTGTCTGTATCGTTCTTCTCAAGCATGGCAATGGAACAAGTTGCACTAGTCTCTTAATGCATGAGTGTCCAACCTTTTGGCTTGCTTGGGTTGCATTGAGTGAAGAAGAATTGACTTGGGTTGCATATATGTAGGCTGCTCTAAAAGTAGTACCTCCTATTTATTTCCATGGAAACCACAACAGATACAAAGAATGTAATAACACTATTTAATAGAGCCAATTCTCAGCTGCAAAACTCATTTTTTTCAACATAGTCATGACCATTAGCTACGCATTTTCATCAGTGATGAACAAGAGCTTTCATGCTATGCTCATAACAATCTGCACCAGAGAAGCTGACCTAGTGTAACCACTGCTCAAACTCACCACCCACCGCCTCACTGTGCTCACATCCACTGTTTGATCTCTGTAAACACCTAGCAAGCATCAATGAATGTCAATGAGTGTCACTGGATTTGGATCACAGGCCAGTAAGACAGGCCTCTCCTTAGCTTCTTCTGCTCTGGACTGAACAAGCCAAGGGACCTCAGCTGCTTCTCACACATCTTGCCCTCTAAATCCTTCACCATCTTTGAATGCTCTCTACTAGTTCCCTGTTCTTCTTAATTTTTATTTATTTTTTTTTTTTTCATAAAAAAAACTGCACACAGTATTTGAAGTGGTTTACAGGCAGTTTTTCTCCAGTGGAAGAGGAACAGAAATATTGTCTCCTTTGTGAAGTAGAGACCATTATAGTGCTGGGAGATACAGTGCAATGGTACAACTGAAGCAGTCTAACAGATGACACCAAATTGGGCATTCTCACCTGACACGGGCTTTGCTCAGGTGATCTCACGGTGGGATGGTCACCTGCCTCATCCAGAAGGAATACTTGTTACAATATCTATATCTGAATGTATATAACACGTGATGCACAAACAATTGCTCACCATCCCCCAGCTAGGCCCCCCAAGCAGCAGAATAAAGAGAGGTGCCCTCCCATCTCCTTAAAAACTCCTTCCACATGATATTATATAGTATGGAATATCCTTTAGGCCATTTTAAGTCAGCAGTCTTAATTCTGTTCTCTCAGAGCTCCTTCAGCCCTTCACTGCAAACAGCCTTGGCTCTGTACAACACTGCTTAGTAGCAACTATAAACATCACTGTGTTATCAACATTGTTTTTCTCCTAGAACCAAAACATAGCATCAGACTCTGAAGAAAACAACTCCATCCCAGCTGAAAGACAAGGACTACATGAGCTCTAGTGCCATAAGAAGTCGAGCTGCAGGGGTGAACAGCTAGAAAGGAGATGGAATGGAATCACCCCTTTTGGCAGCGGGTGATTTATTGGATTGGATCTGCTGAGCTCCTCAGTCCTACTCATTGACATAGAGCACTTGAGCTGGGGAACAGAAAAGCATGTTGGTGCAGCTGCAAGATCCAATCACAACTAAAGAAGAGGAACAAGAGCAAGAAGAAGAGCAAGTAGTTCCATATGACTTGCAGGACAGCAGCAGGCTTAAAGTCTCTGACCAAGTCAGAGTAAGCTCAGAAGACTCAGGCAGGGAAAAACATGTAAATACTGATTATTTTGCACAGATTTGTGTATTCTTGAGCACCCAGAGAGGGTGTGCATGTACCCACAACTGCTTCCACAGTTGCTTCCACAATTATGATGTTATCATCATTTTCCTGTAGCGAAACATTCAGAGCCATTTTGGTCCAGTCTACATCTGCATTTCCTGACTAAAATGAAATATGGCCCCCACCTCCCACCCAGTAGTGCCTTATTTACTTGGGCTGGGGAATGATTTGCAGTCAGTGAACCTATTCTTCCTGTTATGAAGTATTCTAGACTTTGCCTTCTGAGCTAACCCACATTATTAAACCAAAATGCAAATGATATGCTTGTATCTGCTGACCCCAACTTTCAAAACTGGTTGGTTGGTTTTTTTTTTCCCTTTCTTCTCAGTGACATCAGAGACTCAGGCATAAGCTTAGAAGTCAGCAGGTACATCTGCCTGTTTGTCAAGTGACCCGAATCCTCCTTTTCATTATACAGACTTTCAGTAGTGTAGGAAAGGACAGGTGATGCTAATTAAACGAATGAGGTAGATTTTGGTAGAAGAATAATAGAACTCTCTCTTCTTTCCTTCAGCTCTCTCCTTTTAGTTAATTCTTCCCTTCTACCTTGCTTGTTTGTCTGAAAACCAGTTTTGATGTGCATTCATTGGGTTTCAGACACTGGAAAGAAAAGTCTCTGCAAACTTCTTCCCTACCCTTGCTGGCATGCTTTCCCTTCTATAGCAACACTACTTATGCAGTGCAAGGCTCTATAAACTAATTCTGAGAGACATTAAGACTCACACCACCTTTCCTCCTCTCACACTCAACACTTCTCTAAGTTTTTCACATTCCCTCTGACCTTTAGATCTTCCACGAGCATTCTTCTAAGTGCATGTCCTTAATATACACATTTATTAATCTTCTTGGCTTATCTTTCTCCAAAACTATTACTCCAACTCACATACAGGTACTTCCAAGCCTCTGTTCTACTCTGTCTTACATGTCTGATGTTCTGAATATTTAGTTCATTGTGCTGCAGAACTCACTCTTATGACTTCTGCTTCCTTGAATTTTATTTCTATCTTCACTGGTCTCCATCTCTTACTGTTGCCTTCTCTCTGTCAATTTTATCTTCCTCTCAATGCTCTCTCTTTGTCTTTCACAACTACATCCTCACTTCTGCCTTTGGAGAGCTGAGGCTTCTTTTTCCATTCTCATTTACCATGGAAATCTAACCAGGCTTTCACTCTTCTGTCTTTCCCTGTGGATCAATACCCAGTAATGTTGGCAGCATTCTCCATCAGCGCTGTGTACATTTATCTTAGTCTCTTCATCCATTCAGTCTTACATTTTAGCCAGTGTCTTCCTGGAGAGTCTTTGCCCATTCATCTTTCCCATGGCTGCTGAAGAACTTCACATTTTCCTCCTGAATTGCTGCTCCAGTCCCACTGCTCTGTAAGCACAGTCCTTTCTTTTATGTTGCCTTATTGCCTCTGCTGATCAAAGCTAGTCCTATTGATGCATCTGGACCACGTGCAAATTTTGCAGCCTTCTCTCTCGAGGTCTCAGCCCTCTTGTTCATCCCTTCCTTTATTATTATTATTCCCCATACATCCATCTTTCCTCCTTTCCACTCTAACACAAAAAGTCAGCATATTTCCCATTTGCTTACCTATTCAAATCTTCCCTCTCCTTTTCTTACCACAATTTCAAATTTTCATTTTCTTCCTTCTTCATAGACACACTCCCTCCTGATCACTTTTACTTCATACCATGCTGTGTGTTTCTTCTTCTGTTTTATCAGTGATGCAAACATTAATCCTTATGAAATTTGTTTGACACTCTTTTCTATTCTGCCTGAAAAACTTAATGCAAATAATGAAACGTGGGCATACTGTCTTTCCCTCTGCCCTGCTTCTTTTAGATAAACTTGATGAAACTAGCTGGGAAGCTGGAGTTAACTCCTAATTCAGCAGTCTAAAAAGAAAGAAAAATATGATAAAATTGAAAAAAAAAAAAAAAAGTTTTATTTCCCACGATGGGAATAAAAAGTGCAATGAAGAAATAAACAGGAGCAGATGAAAGCCAAACAATCACAAATATAGGAAGGAGCATATCAACTGCCTGGAGTTGATATTTTTAAGGTCAATATGTGGGAAAGAAATTGTGATTGCACTGTATTCAGAAAAGAAGAAAGTAGATGAGATGAACTGACCAAGCTAACAGCTTTTTTTTTTTTTTTTCACTCAGTTCAGCAGTTCCATAGTCCATCTGAATTTCTGCCTAGCAATTTCTAATATTGGGCTTCATCCTTTGAGCCAGGCTGTTGTGTGTCACTCTCTTAATGCTGATCTAAACAAAGACATTTTGCATGTTCTGAGCTCCAGAGCCTGGTATTCTTTTGCTGTAGCTCTGCCACCTTGACTATAATCCACGAGTGCTCATCTCCAGGGGAAATAACCATCAAAACTCTAGTGACACTTCTGCCTACTGCTCAGAGCAATTGTATGGCTGAATACAACTTTGGATAACTCGAAGATGAGGTTTTTCTCCTTAAAAAAAAGAAAAAAACAACAATATCACTTCTGAGTTTGGAGCAGAATGAGTGAGCTGTAGATGTATTTGTGACTGGGCACTGTGCTGTGTGCCAGCAGAGCACACGGTCTGAATGATGGGCATGACAGGCAGCAGAGGCTGAAACAAATGCAAGGAAAGGGATTCAGCAGATCAGGCTGGAGTTGCAGAATTATAACACTGTAGTTGCTCATTCCAGCCATGCATGCAGCAAGGTTGCTTTATGTGTAAACACTCCTACTTACCAAATGACTGATCAGTCCATTACAAATGAGGGCTCCTCTCACATACAGAGAATGGCAGGACACCTGAAACAAAAACATATGCAAAAAGCTGGCCAGCAGCATTTCTCATACCTAGGGGACTTTTCTCATCTTGCTTTTACACAACTACGTATTTGCTGCAGCTGCATCAATGCAGTTAAAAATCACGTTGCCTATTAGGGAGGCTGATAAATCAGTATAAACAGAATTTAGAGCAGCCTGTTCCCATTGTATGGAATATCAGAATGACAGGATATATAGTATTCACACTTTTACAGATAGGAAATGCTGTATTTGGTTCTATCAGCTGCTCCCTCAGGCTGGTCCTGCTTTTTTGGAGGAACCAAAAAAAAAACCTGGGGGAATTGCTGGGTGCTACTTGGGCTTGAGGGAGGTCTGAAGAAGCTTAGTGGGTGGCAAGGGGAAAGATGAAAAGTTGCTGTAACTTCTGCATCTAGCTGCTGGGTGGGAAGAGGGGGGAGGCAGGGAACCACGGCTGGCTGTGAGCTGTACAGCTATTTTAAGCATTAAAAATAAATCTAAGCCTCCTCCTCTCCGTGACTTGAGGCCAAGACAAAGTGACTCAATCTCTCCCTACAGGAGCAGATCTCAAAGCAAAACAAAATCTCATTAGCACAATAACCTAGGTTACTCATCCACAGTTCCTGCAGTCTCCTTCCAGACCTCTTTCTCTCTCTGGTGTGCTCATTTGCTTCATCCCAGAGTGCTTTATCCTAAATTAGGGCTGCTGTCACAGCTATTTGAGAGGCTTTGTCTCCTGGAGTTTGCGCTCCCTGGTTAAAAATCGCTCCAAGCCAGCCTTCCTGTCCTCATGA